GGACCCTGAAAAGAGATGGTGTATTGGGTAAATAGGAAAGCTTTGGAACTTATCCCAGAGTGCGTTGGGAAAGTAAGACTGGGCCTGAAACCGGGTCAGGGATTTTTACAATCAAGCTCCCTAGTTTCCGGGTGAGGGAGGGAGAAGGGGAGAGCAGCCACACAGCCAGTGGCAGCATTGTGGCAGCCAGGGGCATTTACTCCAAGTGAGTTTCTGATTTCCTTGAGAATGTAGTATTCTAGGTTTTACAGTTTGAGGAGTTGCTCCTTCCATTTCATGTTTTCCTTTTTCTTCCACTTACGTTCGACACCTAAAGATGGGTTTTACATTGTCTTCAGAACAAAGGGGCTATAATTGTCATGCGCTTGGGGGCCCAGACTAAATCACCGGAAGAAGTGAAACATTTATTTACATACATAGTTCATAGAATATCCTGTTGACAAGAGGAGTTTGCTTTGCTATGTGAGTCAAATCAAGAGCTTTTTTTTACAGTTGGGCAATGTGAGGAAATGAACTTAACTAACCTTCCTGAGAAAGTCCAAAAGGGTAATTAATATTGTGGGCTTGATAATCAGGGACAACGGCCAGAAGGGCTGATGAAAAATTATGAAGATCAGCGTAAACTTGACCAAGAATTATGAAAAAACAGAATTATCAGCCAGACCTCAGCATGGTTACCTATGTAAGCTGAGTACTCATTTCAAAAGATCTGAACATCCACCATGGCTTTGCAGTTATGCTGACTAGAAGCAAGAATTCAAGTATTTTGTCTTGTTTGATTTCTGTTTTTTTAAATTTGCCCCATCCTTGGATGATCATTTCTCAATTCCCTTAGCAGTATTTAATACGTGATTTTGTGTCTGATGGCTTGGAATCAAATGTTCAGTTCCTTGTTCTATATTTTTACTAGCAGAAATACAGAGATAAGTTTACTGTTTTCGAGTTGTGGTCTCATCATCGGTGAAATCTGAATGATAGAAGCTACCTCCAACATTGTATTAAGGATTAGAGGTAGCAGCTAAAGTCTGTGGCATATTTCACACAGCCAGGCTTCCACAATGAAGAGGCTGCCTGTGGTTTGGGGTTCAGAACATATCACTACTTAAAAACATTTCAAAATTTTATTATGAATCATATACTTAGGAGAAAATATTAATTATAATGGAGATTGTAAAATCTGGTCATTTTAGGGCCTACATGTTGTCATATTTGTACATGTTTCATGGAATGTGAGGACAGCCACCTGGTAAGGTGAACAGTCAGATGCCAGACCACTGTGCTAAGGAGCTGGTAGAGCACTTGTCTAGCATACTTGAAGCTCTGTTCTCCATCCTTAGCACTGCACAAACTCTGGGTCTGGTGGTGCATGACTGTAATTCTAGCATGCAGGAAGTGGGGCAGGAGAATCAAGAGTTCAAGGCTAGCCTGCACAATATATTGAGTTTGAGTCCAATCTACAACTGGTTGCTACAACCAGGCTCAAGAACAGAAACAAAGAAGACTGGTGGAGGCTTGGTTTCCTGTATGGCGTCCTCCATGTGTCTTGCTTGTGTTTTTAAAGCCGTTTTAACAGGATTTTCTGTTACTTGAAGTTGACTGCATCCTGACTGATTTGCAAAACAAATTAACTTTGTTCTTAAGTTTTCTCACTTTCCAAATCTGCAAATTAGGAAATAAATCTGAAAACTGCTGAAACTTAGTGGAACAAATAACTGATGTGATCGGACCCCAGTTGGTAACGTCCAAGAATGACTGGTAGTTACTTCCTTTCACACGGACTCCACACCAGTTACTGACTTGACACTTCCTGTGAAAGGCCAGAACCTGGAAGATGCTTTAACCATGCATCAGATGCAGTAATTGCTGCCAGAACAATCAGCAAAATGTATGCAACTGCCTTCTGATTATCTCAATTCTGACTGCATTGTTGACTGTGGCACAAAACTATTATACAATAATGATAAATAGTAGCCTTTACCAACTTAACCATTATGAATTTTTGTTGTTGTTTTTCATTTTTTTTGTTTTGCCCAGTATCATAACCTCCCTTTAATCTGTCTCTGTAGCTATAAAAGCAATTAGATCAATAACCAAAACCAATCTGTGAATGATGTTCCTGGCAAAGGCATTAGACACCATGAATATCACTAATACTAAAGTTCTTTATGATCTCTTATTGTTAAGTGTGTTCTTTCTTAATTTTGATAACCTAAACCACCATAAGATCTTTGTAGCTTTGTCTAGCATTTTATTATGCTGATCAAAAGTGAAGACATTAAGAAATTATGGGTTATGGGCTAAGATATCGAGAAGTTTTGTGCGGGTCAAAGATGCCTAATGATGGGGTGGGAAATATACTACAGCATTTCTAACTGCCAATCTCAAACTCTTATAAGCAGAATAGTGAAGTCATTGAAATCATCATAGTACCACATTTCTTACTTAGCATTTTTGGGCTTTAGAATTTTTTGTTTCTGTTTTTCTTCTTATTTATTTATTTTGAGAGAAAAATCTCTCTATGAAGTCCTGGATGACCTGGAACTCCCTATGTAGACTCAACTCAGAGTCCATTTAGTGTTGCTTACATAAAAATGGTTTCAAGGTTGACCACTTGGTATTGGGCTCATCTCTGTGGAATATTACTTCACTCTTGGCATTCATTGCTTTTCCCACGGATTTAGGGAATGAATCTCAGGTCCCCTTCCCCAAGGTTTACAAGGCAAGCACATTGTCACATGAGTCAAGCCCTTTCCAACCCTACCATTTTACTGTCTTTTTCCCCTTTTCTAGTTCTTTGACTTAGACTCATATCCTTTCCATTTTTCTCTTTTCCATTTCTCCCTCCTTTAACCATTTCTATTCTTTTTCCCTCATCATTTTCTTCTTTAAAGAATTATTTACTGGCATAAAGGCTTATATAATTGCAGCATGCTACATTCTGTTTTCAAATACGCATATACTATGGAATAGCTAATTTTCATGCATTTCCTTACAAACCTTTAAATTTTTGTGAGAATACTTAAATTCATTCTCTTGGTGATGTTTACTACAGTTTGCTGTTAATGGCAGTAACCTTATTAACAGATATCTTGACCTTGTTCCTCCAACATTACTCAACTTTTATATAATTTGGTTACTACTTCCTCAGTCCCAGTAACTAATGTTCTACTCTCAGTTTCTTCAAGCTTGGGTTTTCAAACTTTCACATATAAGAGAGATCATGTGGTACAAATTCTTCTGTGAATGGATTACTTTGCCTAACACAGTGTCCTCCACATTCATCCATGCCACCAAGTTGCTTATCCTCTTCCTGTCTAGGTAATCCCTTGTTCTTTTTTCCATTTTAATTTTTTAAAATTGTATTTTATGCATATAGATAACTTACATCCATATATGTCTATGTACCTCATGTGTCCCTGGAACTAGAGTTACAGGTGGTTGTGAGCAGCCGTGTGAGTGTTGAGAATCAACTCAGATCCTCTGAGAGAGCTTTCAGTGATCTTAACCACTGAGCCAACTCTCCAGTCTTCTTTTTCTTTTATGTTTGGAGAATAATCACCAGCCAAAGCTGTCACTAATTGCTAAGGAGTAGTTGACCTTGAACCTCTCATTTTCTTCTGTGTAGTAGTTGTCATAGATTCCTCTGTCAGAATGATGTTTCATTTTTAAAACGAGGCAGTATTGCCAGGCATTGTTGCTCATGCCTTTAATCCCAGAGGGGGTGGATCTCTGTGAGTTCACTTTGGTCTACATATTAAGTTCTAGTACAATCAGTCAAGACTATGTAGAGAGACCCTGTCGAGAGAGGAGGGAGGCACAGAATCTTTCTTTGGTAGACCATTTAGTGCCCTGGTAATTTGCAAATGCTTAAGGCCCATGATTTAACTGTAGATGTTTGATGTTGGTAGTTCACGAAAAAGATGAATTTACTTTTCTGTCTGGTAAAAATAATATATAATAACTATTGAAAACAGAGTGTGCGACTATCACTGGGTAGTTGAGCAACTCAACCTATTATAGCAACTCAAAGAATACCACACTTGTCTGAATTGTTAATCAAAATATTTTAAAGTAGGCTTTCAAAAACCTACTTTATGTGATCATTAAATAAAGTGAGTAAAATACAAATAGTCACATAATAAAATTATCTGGCATCTGATGTGATAAATTGACATTCTGTATACAGTCTCATACACACATATTATAGACATATGTTTTTATTGTAGGTCATGTTGAGTACATTTTCTTCACTAAATACACATTTTTATTAGGGATTTCTGAGTGTGGGCTGTAGATTAGTTTGGAGGAGAAAACTATAACCACACCTATTCCCTTCACTTAGAAAAGTCATTATTACCCATTTGTCCCATATCTTCAACTTGTCATGGCAAAAATGATGAATAGCACCAACAAGTGACAAATTGGTAGGAAATGGATGAACGCTATTATTCTGAAATCTTTTTATGTGCACTTACTGTTATTTTTGAGGAAGTAAGTGAAGTAGCTGTGGGTTTTCACAACAACACCATTAAGAACACATTCATCAGTGTTTCTTCAAGAGTGGGTCTTGCATTTGACAAGAGGGATTGGAGATGCATGAAAAAGTGCCATCTGGCAGCGTGGCCAGGGTTCCTAAAAGAGCTCTTTGTGATGATCCTAACTGCTACACAGAGTGTTTAACAGATGCAATGGTGAACTCCTATGAAGTTCACGTTAATAACTGGTATGTTTGGCACATCTTGACCAAAAAAAAAAAAAAAAAGAAAAAAAAAGAAAAGAAAAAGAAAGAAAAAACTATAGGAGATTAAACAATGTTCTGGAACAATAATTGGGAAGATCCTGAAATGTGGGCATTGTTTCTAAGGAGCAGATTCATAGACTGAAGTTTAGACGAGAGACAGAGAAGGAAAAAACACTAATGGTCACTGGCAACGAGTTTTCACAGCTGTCTGTCTTAAACATATGGTGAACAGAAGCTAATTGTAAACTTTTACTTTTAGTGCTATTACAGGTGGATTTTCTGTCCTTAGCCGTGGCTCCGCCATGACTCATGACTTCATCATACTGAGAATTTCCACATGATGAATAATGGAGTGAGCGGTTAAGAAACATGCCCACCAAACTCATCCGAAGAGCTCACACAACGCTCCAGGGTTCACTCTCACAGGCAGAAACATGACATCTTGAGGATTTGCTAATTTTACTGGAAGGGGTGAGTGCCGGCTAGTTTCAGCTGGGTTTGGCTACCAGCGGTACAGGAGTCAACACTTAATATTGATGTAAAACGTTTTTGTTCATTATTATTATTTTTTTAGACAAATTCTCAGTCTGTATCTAGGTTGGTCTGAAAGCCTCACCAATCCTCTTGTCTCCACCCCCCTGAAATGCTAGAATTCCAGGAGTGGGCTACCACAAGCGTGTAATCCTACCTCTGAAGGGCTGAGAGTCACTTTTTTATTTACTTGCTTCTGGTAATATGTTAAAACCTTTATGTCTAATTCTAGAAAAATTAGGTGCCCACGATACTAAACATAGCAGACGGCAAATCAACCGTATTTTCTTAATCCATTTTCTGGTGATGGACACCCAGGCTAGTTTCATATTTTAAATATTATGAACAAGTGGCAAAAACATACACATGAAAGTATCTCTGTGGTCTGCTGACATAGATTCCTCCATGCTATGCTTTTAGCAGGCAGGAGTTTTAAACTTTGATAAGGATCCATGCATATTTTCATAGTTTATTTTGTGTCTTATAGAGAGAAATTTTACCAGCCAAAGTTTACATGGGTCGTATATTTTGTATGTTTTTCTGTTATATATTTAAATATATAGTTTATTTGGATAATTTTTGATGACAGATTGAGATCAACACTTATAATTTTTATCAATGTTTGGAATAACTATTTCTGAGTTAATATGTGGTCAAAGAATGTGTTCCGTGTAATTTTGCTGTTTCAGAATTTGTTGGAACTTTACCTGCAGTCTATAATGTTGTCAGTTTCAGGAAATGTCCATATGTCCATAAAAGAGTGTATATCTAGTTCTTTTTGTTATTATGTTTTATGTCAGTTCAATAAACATTAATAATTACCTTATTCAAATCTTCTGAATATGGATTGAGTTTTTTAAAAGGTTTTCCATTAGTTTTGAGAAATTTGTTAAATTTTCCAACCATGGGAATGGAAACTAGTTCAAATGATATGGATATCTGTTGCGGAGTATTAATTTAAGATGTGTTACATTTGTTTATGCTATGAAATATTTATTTAATGATGCAGAAACGTGTGACATTTGCTTGATTAAATAAAACTAACCTGCAGTCAGGAGGCTGAGTCAGCAACTAGCTGATGGGAAGAGGTAGGGAGGAACCATGTATGTCTAAGGTTCTTAAGTGGGGACAGAGCAAAGGATGCACTGCTTTTGGGAGCCAAGAGCTAGGAGAGAAGGTTAGCTACTTGCTCTTCAGCCTCTCTGAGCAAGTAGATTTTCACCTCAACCTTTAAATCCTGAGTTCTAGAGATTGGTAGAGATCTAAAATTATCTTTTCAGTGACCCTAACAGAGCTGGTTGGTGCCTGAGGGAACAAAATCCCCACCTGTCTACTGCCAGGGCAGCCAAACCTCTACTGGTAGCTGCGGAGTTGCAATTGCCCATTACTACAGCAGTTGCTTAAGGGGCAACCGAGTTTAAGAAAAAACAGTAGATATCAGTATGGAGAGTCCCCAAAAAATTAAAAAAAACCACCGTATTTCTAACTAACAATAGAATAGGAAGGGTTAAATGGAGTGAGAAGTAGGGCAGCAGGGCAGAGGTAGGAATAAGGGAAGTGCTAAGAGACACTGAAATCTTTTCAAAAAAGCCTTATAGAAATCTACAATTGTAGAGGTTTCCTAAGATGTATACATACACATATATTACAAGAGTTTACATGGAGTTATGCTATAATCAACGACAATGGCCTATTAGATACCATGGCTAACAAACAAAAAGCTCAGGGTGAGGAATGGGTTACCTCTTTTGGAGCTGTTGGCCAGTGAGTTTCCATAGACCCTCAAAGACTACAGGCAATTGCCAATGCTCCTGGTTATCCTCCTGTAGGACTTGTTAGCAAGACCTTATTGCTCACGCTGCTCAGCCCTTTTAAATGGGCACATCACCAAAGATCACAAATGACAGTTGTGCAAAAAGGTTTTGTACCATATTAGTTATCACAATCAGAGAAACGTAAATCCCATCCCAATGAGACAGAAATCTAGTAGAATAAACTTTTAAAAGAAAAAGACATTGATACCAAATATGGAGATGTAGAACAAGAACTCTCATGCCTCTTTGATAGAAAAATCAGCAAACTTTGAAAACTGTTTCACAGAATATACTAAAGCCGTTCATACACACAGCAGTTAGACTCTGGTAAATATTCTTGCAAGAACCATGTTTACACATATGTATGGATTGTCATAGGACTGTAATACCATCAATCTGGAAGCACAAATGTTCACCAGTATAGGAAAGGATAAATACAATATGTCACATTAAAACACAGAGAATCTGCAGAATGAACATGAATAAAATACTTCACGCCAGTCGGAATAAATTTCCCAATGTTACAGTAAAGTGAAAGAAACAGGTACAAAATGATGCACCCTAGAGCATTCCATATGCATCCCGTTTAAATACCAGGCCCCAAGAGTCAGGGAAGGGTAAATTAGGTGAGGCTAAGAAGAGGGAAGAACACATCTCTATCGTTGATTATGTTCCACTTCTTGGTCTCAAGCTTGCTCTAAAGATATGCACTCTCGTTGTGATAATCTGTTAAGCTTGCTTACGGTGTTCTCCAGTATGTTACAGAGTGATAATGCTGACCTAAAAGTGAGCAAGGGCAAGGAAGCCAACTGTGGTTTTCACAGAAGATAAAATGAGCACTTTCTTTAACAAAAAAGGTCATGTGTCTTTAACAATACTTTAATCAGCTGGTCACGGTGGTGCACACCTGTAAACATAATACTTGGGAAACTGAGGACAGAGGCTCCACAGTTTCATCTTGGCTTTGTAAAACGACTCTGCGTTCTAAAAATGTGTCTTTTCATCATCGTGAAAGGGGAAAATCAAATTAATTCGTTTATTTCCATGTGAAAATATCAATCTTGAGAGAGCATAATAAACAACGTGCCCAGGTTATCAGATCTTGTCGTCCTGTCTCTGAAGCTTTTGTTTCCTGTACTAGATTCACATTGGATGTTGTAGTTTCCTCAGGGTTCATACATTAATGCATTCAACAGAGTCTAATTTGATCTAGAATTTGGTGGAATCTAATCCTGACAACTCCCAAGCCTGAAAACCCTCCTTAAACAAATGTATCCTTTCTTCACACACAGTCCTTGAGAAGAGCAGTACCTCACCAGAAGCTCAAGGTTCCCAGTTGTGGACAATTCAAGGCGATTTGCTACATGCACTCAAAGAGAAAGAAATCTAGCAGTATTTTAGTTTTCCAAACCACATCTTTTTATTGTTTCTACAGACTCACCAAAATGGAAAGACAATACATTTTTTTTTTAGTTTACCAGGAGCACGATTAATAAAAACTCATAGAGAGAAATTGGGGTTCAACCTGAAGATTTAAAAAGCAAAGCAATGAGTCACTGGCTCTGACCTTGACCTCAGTCCGAAACGACAAGCCTGACATTTCTGAAATTTCATAATGAGATTGAGTTTGAGAGTTTCCTCCTGTTTTATAATCCTCTCCAGGGCTTGGATTTAAGGTGTGCACCACGGGGTTTCAATGCACTGCACGGTTTCTATGGCAACTAGTGGCTACTGGGATTAAAGGTATGTGTTACCTCTATCTGGTCTGTAAGGCTGACCAGTGGAGCTATTTTACTCTCAGATCTTCAGGCAAGCTTTATTTATTAGAATACAAATAAAATGCGACTACATTAACACATGGAAAATCAAATTTTATCACAGTATTAAAGTTATTCACAAATTGTGGATAGATCTGTGATCTTGCCTCTGTTGTTGTTGCTGTCAAAATGTTGATGGCCCAGGAACTGTTCCTGGGCCCCAAGCTTCACAGCCAGAGACCTCACTGCTATATGACCATGCTTAGTTACCTAGACAGCCCCACTGCTAGCAGAGTCCTTACAACACTCAAGTGAGCTTACACACAAGAAGAAAACTCACCCCATCCTAAGTGCATGTGTGCACATGACAGAGGTATATATCTATCTTTTCTTCCTTATTAAATGTATTCTTGAGATTTATTTATTTATCTTTTTTTTTTTGAAATAGGGTTTCTCTGTGTGGCTCTGGCTGTTCTGAAACTCTTTCTATAGACAAGGTTGGCCATAAACTCAGAGATCCTCCTGCCTCGGTCTCCCCATTGCTGGGATGAAAGGCATGAGCCACCACTGCCCAGCTCTTGAGGGTTTTAAATTTTTATTTTACTTTTAATTAAAATATAATTACATTAGCTGGGCGGTGGTGGCATATGCCTTTAATTCTAGCACTTGGGTGCAGATCATTGTGAATTAGAGGCCAGCCTGGTCTACAGAGCGAGTTCCGGGACAGGCTCCAAAGATACAGAGATACCCTGTCTTAAAAATCTTCCCCCAAAGAATTTCTCCCCTCCTTTTCCTCCCTCCAGTCCTTCCCATGCCTCTCCCTCACTCTATCTTAAATTATGACTCTTTTTCTTTAATATTCTTGTTACAAATTTATATGTACACACACACACACACACACACACACATGAATAAGTCGTCTGCCTGTGTATTCCAGCATTCTGGAGGTGAAGGCAGGAAGATCAAGAGTTCACAGACAGCCTTCGCTACACGCCATCTCCAAGGCCAACTGTATTACTAGACATCCTATCTAACCACTCCTTCCCTGGGGGTGGGGAAAAGAAAAGAAACTGTACACACAAAAAGATAAATGATAACAAGTCTAGGCAATGACTGGAACAAAGGGGATGTTGCCACAGTGTTAGTGAGAAAACAAGTTAGGACAGCCACTATGAAAGCCAGCACTGAGTTTTCTCAAAAACTCAACACTAGATCACCCATGGTTGAAGGAATCCCACAACTGATTTCATATGCATAGAAAATGAAATCAGTGTTCCAGGGAGAGCCTTGAACTCCAGCGTTAATTGAAGCATTCCTCACAGCAGCTGTGTTCACCAGGGGATAGGCTAAAAGATGTGACAAGCAAACA